ATGTTATCCTGAAAAATACTTTTCTATTTTAACAAGATACCCAAGAATTGATACATTGCAATTACCCCAATCATGGCTAACTTGATAGCATAACATTGCCATTTTTTAGTAGATTCATGATTCCAAAGACATTTATATTGCTCACTAATTCATTTAACATGTCCTACTATTAATTAGAGTATATCCTCATTAATTTCTCTTGAATTTTTTGTCATAAGATAGCTTTAATTGTATTAATAATCTAAGTAATTTAATAATAATTTCATCTTAATTAAAGTAAAAAATTATGAATTTAAGTCACATGACATGTAAGATAGAATGGATTAAAAAATAAGAAAAAAAATTACCTTTTTATTATACAACATAATATTAAAAAAATAACCCTAATTGTTTTTTTTTTTTTTTAAATGGACACTGAGTGTCACCTTGCCCACTTCAGGGATTACAAATAGTTCGCTAATGACCTTATCACTGACCTTATCACGGATGGTCAGCGATCAGTTCCTATTGTCTGTTACCATGAGTTTTTAGCATTTTATTTCCGACCTGTTTCTTCCAGCTTAGTGTAACAATTTTTTCTTTTTAGAAAAAGAATTGGCATGGCTTGTATTAATAAAAGGCAAAAGATATTTTAAATAAGAAGGTAGTTTTAATTAGTAAAAAAATAAAGATTATTAAGAAATAAAAATTATATTTTTAATTAAAAAATTATATCTTTATTTAAATAAATATAATAAAATTATAATTCAAGACTTATCACTAAAAATGAAAAATACTAAAAAATTAATAAATATGAAAAGAAGCAAGAAAAATGGATCATCACTCTATCATATATTTAAAAAAAATCCAATATTACAGTATAATCTATTATTAAATGTACTAACCAAACAATACTCCAACATCAGAAAACAGATCGAATTTTCCCATAAATATGAGTCATGGGCAATTAGAAGATTCAAAACCTTAATTCCAGGAGCTCAACAATTCAAACATCTTATAATAACAAAATATCAAAAGAGAAAACAGATTCAAACAAACTTTTGTTGGGACCTTAGCACAACAAACAAAAAAAAAGAAGAAGAAGGGTAAAACAAGTAAAGATTGGACTGTTGTGTTTACCAGATGAATTTACTGTTATTGCTTCAGATGCTAACAACCCATCACAAGTCCAGCCTAGGATCATACCAAGCTAAGTTCATCCTTCACAAGACTTGTGCTGAATGACCTCGTCCAATACATCATCCCTTTCACCCCAAACACACTCTCTCATGCAAACCCAAATCCAAATCCCTACATAACCATAGCAGTGCTGTACGGATCCAAGAGATCGTGTTTTGGATGGAGGGATGCTGCATAAGACAGGTTACTTCAGCGCATGTCTTGCAATGGAGAGCGAACTTACGCTGATCATGATAATAGGATGATCCTGAGATGCGTTCCACGCACCTGTGCCCTCTGCTTAATTTGCTGCTCTGTTACCAGTTAGAAATATGACATCTCTGGCTCTCCTCCTTGGCTTGGGTATGCTTCAATTATAAAAGGCATCAGCTTTGGATCCTTTGTGGAAAGCTGGAAATACAGCTGTTTGCCTCTTTCTTTTTTGTACAGTACTATAAAGTTATTCATCAAGCATGTGATATGCTACAGACTGCACAAGAATACATGGTAATTTCCATCATTTCCATGTGCAGCGTCTCGCAATTAACAACCCACGAGCATTAATTAGTAAGTTTAATCACAAACCGATATAGTTACAAAATTAAGTTGAATTATAAGATTATAATTTTAATGTATTATTAAATAAATAGATATATGGTACCTAAACTTTTGGGTCCAGTGATATCAGGTAACGTATAGGTGCATTCTCTCACTTCTAGAACAACAATTTGAATCCAATCCTTTGTAAATTTGTTCAAAAAAAATAAATAGATATATGTATAATGTAATTAATAAATTTTAAATAAAAAAATCAATTATACAATTAAATGTCAAAAATCTAAATTTAAAATATCATAATCTTATAATTGAGGAAAAGTGAAAATGTAAAGTAAAAAATTAAGTAAAAAATTAAAAGTATATCATTTTAATAAAATTTTATTAAAAATTAATATATTTTAATTTTTTTAAATAAAAATAAAAATTTTTATTTTTTATAATATTTTATTAAAATAATATAATTTTAAAATATTTTTGCTTTTAATTTTTCACAATAAAAATATACCATTAATCTTTTATAGATTTTTCTAATTCATATCTTAATAATTAATATATATTTTTTATCATTATATTATATAAAAATAAATTTTAATTTTAATTTTATTAATTAACTAATCAAACTAAAATATATAGTATTAATATTAAAATTAATATTAATTTTTTTATTTTTTATATAAATTAATAATTAAAAAATATATAAATTATGTCTTAATGTGTAGCTCAGGATATAGGTTAAAAAATTTATTTTTTTTATAATTGCATCATTTTTTTAAAGCTTAACCAGGCGTTGGGGCCCAGCATTTCATTCTCCCCCCGACATCATGGCAGCGAGATTTGCGGGATAAATTGGCCTTATTGTAAAAAGAAAAAGATAAAGAAAGTCTTATGAAGGATTGACCTTTTTTTTCAGTGTCCTAGACGAGTTGACCCACTTCTTCGGTTAAAAGGAAAAACAAATCAGTCCGGACTGGTACAGATTTGGGCTTGAAAATATCATTTTGCCATTTAATGAAGAGGAGGGAAAGATTCGGTTGGAATGGCCACTTGAAACGTCAATCCAATAAACCTGAAAGTTAGCCCAACCCAATAAAAATCACCCTGTGTAAAATTGGTTTTGTACTCTAGATGTGAAAATTAACAGTTGGGCCTCTAAATGTCTTCTGTTGAATCACTGGATCCGACAAGTATCTTAGACCTAATCAAGCTCCGTTGACCGGCCCAAAGCCCAGATCACTTGATTTCTAGAATAAAAGATGTCAACTTTTGTGATTTTTAATATAAATTAATTACAAAAAAAATATATTAATTACATTTTGAACATGTGTTCTAAAGCATAAACTAAAAAAAATTCAATTTTTAATCTTAAGTTGACATATACTGCAGTCCTCTAGCTGAATAAATTAGTCTAGGTTTTTGCACAACAAAATTATACAAATACAATCTTATCTTAGAATGTACTTTCATATTTAGAGTTAGGGTGTCTAGTACCAATTTTTTTATACCTTGATTCCTTTTTGGATAATATTAAAAGTGGTGCATTAAAAAAGTTAATTTGCTTAAGCATTGTCCATTTAACACAACCCTATATGATAGTAATTACTATTATTTATTCTTTTTTTTTCTACAACAAGATGCATAAATCAATACACATCAACACGTTTTATTCTGAATGTGACTATAGATAAACTCTGATAAATCAGAAACTTTCTAAGCCATTGGTTGTTGCAGTGAAATTTTCACAAGGCAGCTTTAATCATACATCTCTATGTAGTGTACTAAAGACCCAGCCTTGATGACTGAGTTTTCAACCGCAGTATGAATGGCAGTATGCAGAAAGATACATATCCCAAAGACAAATCATGTGAAATACAAAACCCTTCTGTGCAGATTATACTATTTCCCCAGTTGACAAATTATGAGCTTTGATGCAATTAATAATTAATTCAAATTACACTTTAATTTAGAATATTCCACTAAAAATTTGGTCACATTGTACATAGCCGGCCTGTCCTTTTGCTGATTACAACATAGAAATTGCAAGCTTTAACTTTTTAACTTTATCTACATACTGGACAAAGAGAAGACCATTTTGAGCCGGCATTGTACATATATTGTTAGTGTTACATTT